GTGGAGAGCAAATGTTTTGAGAATGATGAGGGCAATGAATGTACAAATGTGCTTTGCACAATTGATGTATGTGTGCATTGAGATAAGAATTGTATGAGCCCCTAATAAAACGATTAGAAAAAGAAAGTTGGGGTGCTAAAATCCTTTACTTGAGGTATTTTTGTTGTTTAGAATTACTGTCCTTTCATTTCATTAAATGAAAAGTTTGCTTTTTAGGTAGTTAAGGCCCATCCTGGGCTTATAATGTAAAAGGAAAGAAGCTTTAATCCTGAAAGTTATCTTGCTGGGTTAGTTCAGATCTCCAGTGTTGGCTGAAGCGTGGTGTGAAATGTAGCCGCTTTCTGTGTTTCCTTCCTTCTGAGCCAATAAGCTAGAATGTACCAGGTGTCCACTTAAGCCAACAGATCCTATTTCTATCATCCCGTTTACAAGAAAAGCTTGCTCGAATGTTTATGAAGTTTCAGTAAACTAATAAGTTTACTGAAGCAAGTGTAGATGTGAGTGTATGTTTTAGAGGGTGAAATGAGTAGATACGTAAATTACAGTACATTGAAGCACTAGTCTTTATACTTTTCTGATCTGGGTTTATCACCACAGAGCTGTCTCCTAAATTGGTGATGGTGGCACCGAGCTGCCATGCCCACAGGAACTCCAGTTTCGTGTGAAGTTGAAACCTTTGTACTGAATAGTTGAATTCTTCCCAGATCTCTATTTAGTCATTTCCAATCCACAGTTCAGACTTCGGTATGTTACCGTCCATCTCCCAGGAAGGTTAATAAAGATGACTGCATACTACTTGTGATCAAACTATCCTCATCATCACGTTTGTCCTCATGGTTGAATTTGTTCTTGTGATCAGGGGAGACTATTTACGATGCTGCAAGATCTGTTACCCCCTCTGTGCTTTCGTCATCCTCGCGGCCTGTGTCGTGGCCTGTGTTGGTTTGGTGTGGATGCAAGTTGCTCTCAAGGAGGATCTGGATGCCCTCAAGGAGAAGTTTCGAACAAGTAAGTGGTTAGGCTTCTCAGAAGGTAAGCTTGGAGTCTCCTCCAGGTTCTACGACTAAGTGAACTACACTGTATTGTGAGCATTTTGCATAGCCAGTAAAGCAGTTATACACTTGCCATACTCTTTCCGAGCTGCCAGATTGAATGCTGTGACAGTCACTAAAACCCACAAACAGTGGACATAAACTATTTGAACAACGTGTTAAGTAAAGACTAACTTAAAACTTGTATTTATAGAACTATGTGTTATGTAAAGAAAAAATTGCATGGGAAAAGACCCCCAAAGGTAAATATATTAAAAATGGTGCATGCTGAAAAAAAAAACCCCCACAAACAAAATGGTGCTTATGGACCACGGGACATATCACATCTGAAATCATGGTGTGGAATGCAGGAGGGGAGCGCTGTAGTCCAGGAGTCCAGAGCCATGGTTAACCTCCAGGTATAAAGTGACAGTGAAACCCTGGGCTTTCCCAAGACCTCAGAAAGAATGTGACAGATCTGTCAAATGATGCCCTCCTGAAGGGTATGGTGCCTCCTTGTGGTCATGCCTTCTCATAAAGAGGGCCCAGGGAACCTGGCCGACAAGTTGAATACCACCCCTACACTTCTATATACCTTCAAGTTGACATAAAATTACATAACTACCCCAGGGGGTTTTGTTTTTTGTTTTTATTCTAAATTGTGTCTTAACCATCCAATCTACTTTTTTTATGAAAGATCTATTTGCATAGGAGCTTCCATCAGGTTTAACCAAATATCTTTCTTCGGCGACACAGAAATCTTTGGTTCTAGGTTTCTAGGGTTAATATTCTAAGCTAAGGAACCAGTGTCAACATAATAAGAAATACCCTAGCCCAGGGGTCCTCAAACTTCTTAAACAAGGGACCAGTTCACTGTCCCTCAGACCCATTGGAGGGCCGGACTATAGTTTGAAAAAAAAAAAAAACTATGAACAAATTCCTATGCACACTGCACATATCTTAATTTGAACTGAAAAAAAAAATGGGGCAAAAACATCCGGCAGCCTGGATAAATATCCTCGGCGGGCCGCACGTAGTTTGAGGACCCTGCCCCTGAAGAGCATTGGCATGGCTGAAAGGCTCTCTCAAGGTTAAAAAAAATCTGGCCCCAGAGTTGAAGTTAGAATTGTTTTCCTTATTTCCCTTCTTAAGCCTAGGAGATCACAGAATACGAGCTTTCCTTCACCCCACCTTCCGTTGCGGTCTGCAGTCACTCAAGCTCCGAGCCTGACCGAGAATAGCTAATCCTTCGTGCTGTGTTAATGACAGTCCTGGTGGTGTTGCTTGAGGAAAATGTTGAAATACTAACTTTAGTTTCTTTTTCTTGGCTTGTTTTCTGATTTAGGGGATGAGACTAAATATGTCACCATTCTCTCCCAGAATCCTCCTGACCTCTATGTTCTGCCAACTGATTTAATCAGAGTACAGAATAAGAAAGAATGGTATTTGTACTCTAGTCATTTTTCCTCTTTGATGACTCTCTTTAGTATTATGGCAAGGTGTTTTCTTTATAATGTAAATAGTAGTGATCACAAGTTGGGAATGAAGTTCTGGAACCAGTGCTAAGCTTGGAAATAACTCCTGCAGACCTGTCCATGCCATTATCTCTCTAATTAGTTGGGTCTCTAAGCTTATGCCCTAGCTTGTTTTGATTACATATAGCCATCAATTTATAAACGGCAAAACATTAGTCAATTCTTCCCTCCAGAGAATTCTTTCTCTCTGCTCTGTGCTGTGTTCACAGGAAACTCAGATAATTCATACCTTCACTGAGCGTTGCAAAGAAATGTCTTTGTTTAGAAACCCATGTTTTAAATGTAGTACATGTGATAAGCCTGGCAGTCAAATCAGTCAACAGATGTTTATGGAGCACCTGTCCCTAGCAATCCCTGGAAGCACTGTATTCAGAAGATGTCTGGCACTTCACCCTGGCCTGTGAGACCTGCTCACTGCCGCTGAGCAGCACTCCCCTGGGACTGACTGCCTCGGTCAGCCAAATGAATGGAACGGATTTGAAGGGTCAGTCCAGCTGCGTGTTGGCTTGGTTTTGCTACAATCGAAAGGCCAGCACCTGTACTGTCTGTAAGTGAGACTTCCTGACAAAGGAAGGGGTAGGGCTGAAACAAAGCCCATAGCCTGAACCATTGTGGGCCACTTGACAGAGTTTTGTTCTAGACCAGATCAGTCTCATGAAGTTTAAATGATTTTCTTTGAATTATCCTTCTACTTTGAATATTTTTCAGTAGATTTATTTTTGTATCTTGTTTTTCAAGAAGACAGTAGAAGTCACTGACTCAAATAAAACCAATTGCTTGTCTGACGTTAATACCGTTCTGAGGTGTTCAGAGCCCCTTGTCAATAAATTCTTCAAGACACTTATGAGAAAAGGAGGAAAATCGCTTAAATATCAGACACAGAAAGCAAAGCAGTTAGGCTGGGTATTTTACCGTGCGCTGTGGGAATCACTCGATCCTTATGCTAAAAGTACTGACTGACTATGAGAATCTAGCTCAGTTCTTTTCCCAGAACTAGGTCACAAAAGAACTCAAACACATATTCCAAAGGTTTTTTCCCCCATGATACCAGATGGATTTTATTATATTTTCGTTCATTAAATTGTTTTAATGATCCACAAATTGGTTGCAAGGCTGTTTTGTCCTTGAGAACATTTATTATAGTCTTAAGTAGGACAAGGCAAAGACATGTTAACCAGATAGGGGAAAACATGGGCTTGGAGTCATAAATGGTCTCCTGGGGGACCAGCCTCCACAAGCAAACGGGTCCAGGGGACAGTTATGTAATTGAAGGATAGATTAAAGATAAAGCAGACAAGACATGCCAAGGCTCTCCTCTTCCGGTAGCAGGATTGAGAGAGAGTGCAAATGTATTCTCTCACAAGCTTATATAACCTCAGGCATGCAAGCCACGTCATACACATACCTAACAGGAAGGGGATATGTTAGAGGCATACGTATAACATGAAGGGGACATGTTAGGGGTATACACACACCAGGAAGGGGACATGCTAGGAACATACCGTCACAGAAAGACAAAAAGACGGGTGGGTTCTAGAGTTAAGATGGCATCTTGACCTTGGTCATCTCTGAGCTGGCTTGACATTAGGAATCCCTGCTTCTGTGCATGGGGTCCCTGTGAGTCAGAGCCAACTCGATACCTAACAACATTAGCTGTAAAACTCTTCTGTGCATGTGTCACTGTGAGTCAGCCCACCCAGCACCCAACAGCAACAGTACTTAGCTGTAAACTTGGAACAAGTCACCGAGTCTTTGAGTCTCCATTTTCCCATCCAAAAAATGCACAGATGTATTTGTGTCACGAGAAGATTTGGGGCATTCCTCATCAAACCCCAAACCGAATCCATAGCTGCAGAGTTGACTCCAGTTCATAGCAACCTTCTAGAGCAGAGTAGAACAGCTCCATGTGGTGCCCAAGGCTGCGGATCTTTCCAGAAGCAGACTGCCACATCTTCGCCCAAGGAGTTCAACCATCCACTCTTGAACCACTGCACCACCAGGGACCCTGAGGTCCGCTACACTGTGCAGTTATTACTACCTCACTCTCATTAGACTGAGAACATCAGGGTCTTTGTTTGTATGCTAGTGCCTACTGCAGGCTTGGGCATATAGTAAAGGCATAATATCTAATTGTTGAATAATACATAAAGGTTCATTGCAAACTATGAAAGCATTGTGTAAATACAGAATATTGCTATTGGAAATGTGTGTTCAATCAAAATCAGTGTATACTGACATCATTTTCTGATCTCAAAGATCAGAAAAAGAGCTACTAGGTGGGTTATTTTCAATATTAGCATACTAAATTTTAAATAACTTGCTCCCCATCGAAGGAACATGAATTCATAATCATAAGTTGTTTGTACCACTTCTTCTCTACTTAGCTGTTTCCTAAAAAAAATTCCCAAGTCAGATAATGATTATGATCCCCTCCCCCGGGACGTTTGACCTCCTGAGAACTGCAGATGTAGAAGGAGTTTTTTCTTTACCAGATAACTGAGAATGAGTACAAAACTCAGTAAGATGCAAAGTGCTGCATTAACTTAAAATGTTCTTACTGTGTGGGATGTGTTCCTACATGCGCAAACCAAATGGTACATTGCAAGCACTTAGGGAAGTCTATAATTTATAAAGAAATACTTTAGCAGGCTGTTTCCAAATAAACAGCCATCTAAGTGAGATGTCAACTAAGTCCACATGGAAGAAACACACCATCACCAGTCACCAAAGGATTGTAAATCATACAATCCGAAGTTGAAGGAGGAAATAGTATGAGAGCCTAAGTTGTGAGAATCCGGTTTGCAGAAGGCTGTGGATGACAGTGGAAGCCCAAGATTCATTTGTGGGATCCACATAGGACATCAGCTTCCAGTGGATTTCCCTCTGTCCATAATAGAGGGATGGGAGGAAAGTGGTTACTGAACAAAGTGCATTAGAGATGACTACAGACCAGGGGTCCTCAAACTTTTAACAGGGGGCCGGACTATGGTTTAAAAAAAAAAAAACTATGAACAAATTCCTATGCACACTGCACATATCTTATTTTGAAGTAAAAAACAAAACGGGGCAAAAACATCTGGCGGCCCGGATAAATGCCCTCGGCGGGCTGCATGTGGCCCGTGGGTCGTAGTTTGAGGACCCCTGCTGTAGACAATTCAAGGAATAAACCTGACTTGGATGGTTAAAACCTTGCCAGTTGATGCCACTTCTGATGCATGTTAGGCCTGATCTGGTTTTCAACATTTTCTGTGTTTTTCTGGTTTTTGTTTGTTCATATTTGGGTTTATGTATTGTGTCATTGGGGGTCACCTGCTGGAGTTTTTGTTTTGTTTTTCAGTATATGAAAACCAGGACTGGTGAGCCTATAGGGACAACGAGTAGAATAAGGGTTTCTGGGGGTACAGTGGTGGGGAAGAGGGTTGGTGGTGGTGGAGTAAAAGGGAGCTCATGTAAGGACTTCAGGAAGGAAAAGATTGGTTTGAAAATTATTGTAGTAGCACTTGTACAATACTGCTTGATGTAATTGAACTGTGGAATGATATGATATATGATATCTATATTAATGCCCAATAAAATCATTTTGAAAAAAATAAAATCCTTTAGAAAATATGTATTTCTAATAAATAAAAACTTAATGTCTTGCCTTGGTTACACATTGAACTGCTAGCCACAAAGTCAGTGATTTGGACCCACCAGCCATTCTGTGGAAGAAAGATGAGGCTGTCTGCCCCCATAAAGTTTTGAAGTCTCAGTAACCCAACTGTCTATGTAGTCATGAGTCGTATTTGACTTGAGGGCACTGAGTGGGCAACTTAATTGAAGTAAAGATACTTTTGTATTTATTACCATCACCACTTCCAAGTTGGTAGGATTTCTTTTGTTGTTGAAAGTTTTTATTTGTTGTGTTTTCTTTGTTTAACTTAAAGGAACATTTATTTCATAAGTATGTGAGTGTTCCTGTGTAGCTGACACTATTCTGGGCCCTAGGAATGCATTATCAAGTAAAGACCTGGTACATAGCCTCAAATAGTTCACTGTCAGACTAGTGGAGAGATAAAGCAAGAGTTGAAGCTAGGAAATAGAGGAAAGAACTAGGAGACAAAGGGTATTTATAGAGGTCTAAATACAGGCATGTACATATGTAAATATATTTATATAGGATGGTGGGGAAATAGATCTTCGTGCATATATTTATAGGTTTATCATTAAGGCAGCAAATGGACATTGGACCTCCACTCAAGTACTTACTCAATGCAAGAACACTTTGTTCTATTGAATTGGCATTCCATCATGCACACCTTCCTGACACGATCGCTGAAGACAAAGTGGATGCATAAGCAAATGTGAAGAAAGCTGATGGTGCCCAGCTATCAAAAGATACAGTGTCTGGGGTCTTAAAGGCTTGAAGATAAACAAGCGGCCATCTAGCTCAGAAACAACAAAGCCCACATGGAAGAAGCATACCAGCCTGTGTGACCATGAGGAGTTGAAGGAATCAGGTATCAAAGAACAAAAAAAAAATCATATCATTGTAAATGAGGGTGAGTGCAGAGTGGAGACCCAAAGCCCATCTGTAGGCAACTGGACACCCCCTTACTGAAGGGTCACGGGGAGGAGACGAGCTATTCAGGTTGCAGTGTAGCAACGATGAAACATACAACTTTCTTCTACTTCTTAAATGCTTCCTCCCCCCACTATCATGATCCCAATTCTACCTTATAAATCTGGTACAGATAGGAACTGGAAACACAGGGAATCCAGGACAGATGATCCTTTCAGGACCAGTGGTGAGAGTGGCAATACCTAGAGGGTGGAGGGAGGTTGGGGTAGAAAGGGGGAACCGATTACAAGGATCTACATATAACCTTCTCCCTGGGGGATGGACAACAAAAAGTGGATGAGGGGAGATGTCGGACAGTGTAAGATATGACAAACTAATAATAATTTATAAATTATCAAAGACTCAAGAGGGAGTGGGGACGGAGGGGGAAAATGAGCCGATATTAAGGGTTAAAGTAGAAAGCAAATGTTTTGAGAATGATTATGGCTACAAATGTGCTTGACACGATGGATGTATGGATTGTGATAAGAATTGTACAAGCCCCCAATAAAATGATTTTTTTAAAAACAAGAGTTGAAACATAGTGCTCCTAGTAGAGTTTGGGTCCCAGGTGTAAAAGTGGTTAGGCACTTAGCTGCCAACTGAAAGGTTGGTGGTTCGAATCCACCAGCTGCTCCATGGTAGAAAGATAGATGTGCACCCTTGGGAATACCAATGACAGTTTTGCTCTGTCATACACACACACATACACACAACAATTACCTACCCTGGAATTAACCTTTTTTTTCCCCCGACAGTTTTATTGGCATGTAATTTACATATAATCAATAGAATTCCCTTTTATTAGCCATCTTCTTCATACTCTACAATGTTTGTTTGTTTTTTTCATGTTGGAACCATGAGGGACTATTTATGAGTGCTCTTATTTTTTTTGCTTTTAGTGGACTCTAATCAGAAAAGCTCATTCCAAGAAATCCCCAAACTTAATGAAGAGCTACTCGACCAACAGAAACAGCTTGAGAAAATTGAATCTGGAGAACTGGGTTTGAACAAAGTCTGGATAAACATCACAGAAATTAATAAGCAGGTAGCAAAAATATTTAGTTTTGTTTCTATTTCTTGTTTTTTTGTTAATGGTATAAATTTGAATTCAGCTTGTTTTATTTTTTAATATTATAGTATTATAATACTATAATCCCCAAACTTTGAAATCATACATAATAGATAGGAGTATGTATTTATCAGATATTTAGAAGGCTAATCCATTTTACAAAAGAACAGAGTTTTACCAAATAGAGAGAGTTGGAAATTGATAAGTCAGATTTTTCCTAAGGAGCGCTTAAGAATACAATTTTAAAAGGGATATGATCTCACACAAGAAACATGGGTGGGTTACAGGAGCTTTAGAAAGTTCATGGAATAGTGGAATTCAAAGATAATGACAATTTGCCACAAACTTTGTCAAGCTCCTTCATATTTTTGTTAGCTAATGAGAGGTTCTTGGGTTAGTGGCATTAGCAAATTTAAACAGAAGCAGCCTTGAAGTGCAGCGTCATTATCAGTTAACACTAGTTCTAGACTAGTGTAAGAGCAGCTGACAAAGTTGGTTAAATACCATAGCCAGGTAAACAAGTCTAGAACAAGAATGTTCAGTCCCTGCACTAGCCAGAGGTCGTGGGCGTTGACCGAAAAGAGGGAGGGACTCCCCGACAGGAAAGAAGCTATTCGACTGGCATCTGCTGTGTGGATAGTGCTGCAGTTACCACGGGGTGACTTGAAACCCTTCCCTCAGTTGTCAGTTATTCAGAACACATCCCTGGTAGAGGGTTGGTGGGGGAAATAACCACTCCCAGGTGAACGGTACATTGTAAAGTATCCGTGGCTCTGTCTTTCTTCCAGAGGCTCAGGAGGTACGACAGAACTCAGAGTCAGCCAGTGGCAGAGAGCACTGTCCTCGGCAAAGGTGCTCACAAATCTTTCTGCAGCCACCCTCTCCTTTTGACAGTGATGAGGAAGTGGGAGGCAATCTACGTAGCACCAAACCCCAAAGATCAGTGAGTGATCTGGGTAGTGACTTTCAAACTTTTACCTCTAACCCAGAGTGAGAAATGTTTTACATCTTTACCTGCAAAATACATGCATATGTAGCATGAAATGAAAGTCTCTAAAAACAGTTGCTTACTGTTTAATAATGTGATAGTGACTTATCATACTTTTCAGTTCTGTTTCATTTTTTTAAATTACTTGTGAAATAATTGAGGGGTAACAGCACTTAGTATTTACTAGTAATCCATTATTTTCGGATTCTCAGCAATTAAAGGAAAGCAAGCGTTCACCCTTTTTTGAAAACTAATACGGCTTTACTTGCATCTGCTGAGCATATGGGCGGTTTGACCAGAGGTTACATCCAGGTGAAAGTAGAAATAAATAGCATCACTCACTGGGGCAGAGCATGGATTCCATATGGACAGCCAGTTGTGGAGTTTACTATTCTGAGATGAGCACGAAACCGCTCAAGGTGAGGCGAGGCAGCAAAGTCTATTTCCCAGCTCCTTGCAAGGGCCATCTGGGAAGAGTCGAGGGGAAATTGGTACTTCGATTGAGAGGACACAAATTTTCAAATCTCTAGTACAGACTCAAATTGGAATTCTGAGATCTTTTTTAACCAGGGATCCAGGAGCAGACGAATCATTTTCTTCTTGACTTGGCCATTATATTTAATGCAAGACAAGCCTGAGAGGGCAGGCATCAGAAAGTTTACTTCAGTGTTAAGGCTCTGTATTACGAGCTGGGAGAGATCAAAATGAAACTGCTTTCCATTAGCGTCAGTAAACGTTCAAAGATGACGGGTCTGCGGAAAGGAACCTGGTGCAGAGGTTGTCTGCATCCATCCAGGTGACAGGTGGTGTCATAGGGGCTTCTGTCTTTCCAAAGGAAGCGCATCACTCGGAGTGGTTTTCTAAAATTAATTTTACATATCTCTGACAGTTTCTTCACTTTGGCATTTGTCTCAAACCAAAATAAGTGTAGTATTTCACCAGATTTTATATCTAAGGGCAGCTCTATTAGGATGTTTCTAGTGACCAAAAAAAAGCAACTCAACGTGGCACTATCAAAATTATATGTCACTTAACAAGAACCATCCTTATCACAGTGTGAGTGTAAGTTAATGCAGTTGTGAGTGAAGGGGAGGGAAAGCATCCGTTTAAAGAGTTAAAATCTCATTTTACCTGGAAAATGCTTCAATTGGTCATTGAAATCGCTTTTACATTTCATTCATGAAACCTGATTTAACCTGTTCCCTATCAACTATTATAGGGAATCTCCTCCCCTTCTTTGGAGATCATTAATTCAACAAATGCTTACTGTAGGTAGGCCTTGGACTGAAAATCAAAAAAAGTGTGCTCTCTGCCCTCCAGGATCTTACAGTCAAATAGATGAGGTAGAAAAATAAACAATTGCAAAACAGACTGACAAGCAATAAAAAGCAGGTCCAAATGTGTACTGTGCAAACATTTAGAAGTACATATCTGGTGTAGACACACCTCGCTATAAATTAACGATCTTATAAATGCGTAGAAAGGGGACTGACCGGAAGAATGCAGCCCAGACTGCTGATAGTTAACGCCGACGAGGAGGACCGGGAAAAGGAGAGAGGAGGAGAAGAACAAAGCAAAGAGAAGTTGAAAGGGGTTTTCATAAAAGCTCTATATGTATTTTATTGTTTCAATCTTAAACAGTGAGAATGCATGCAGATGTTATGGAATTTTATGGATTCGCCCTGAGTCTGTCATAGCTTCGGGACACTGCAGTGCCTGGGAGAAGAGCTTCAGCTCAGATCACTCCACGCCACACCGTGTTGTCCCATGAAATCCAGGCAGCTGTCAATGGGAGAAGCTTTGGTCTAGGTAAAAAGGTGGTTCTCAACCTTCCTATTGCCACGGTCCTTTAATACAATTCCTCATGTTGTGGTGACCCCCCCAGCCATAAAATTATTTCGTTGCTACTTCATAACTGTAATTTTGCTACTGCTATGAATCAGGCGCCTTCTGTGAAAGGGTCCTTCCACCCTCAAAGGGGTTGTGACCCACAGGTTGAGAACCGCTGACGTAATTACTAGGGCAGTGGAATAACTATATTCTTGCCCGGCAAATTGGTCTTGAGTCCACTGTGTACATACCTTGGGGCACTAATTAAGTGTTCCCGGAAGAGGGGTCCCTTCCTAGCACTTCATGACTGTGTATGTTCCAGTGGTCCGGGAAGGCCCAGTGGAGGGGATGAAGAAAAGCCAGTGATGGCAACCCATCAAACCCCATCCAAGGTTACCTGATGGTTTCTTCCTACAGTTTTCCCATCTTTTATCTTTTTAAAAATCCCACAATGCTTGAATGTATTCTTTTTGTATAAGATTTAAACATTAAAGTACAGTACATGTAGGATGTCTATGAAAATTCCCCTTTCAACCCTTCTTCCATACTCTTTCTCCTTCTCCCTCTCCCTCCCCTTCCCCCCTCCCTTCCTCCCTCTTATTTTCCCTGCCCTCATAGGTGTTAACTGTCAGTAATCTAGGCTGCACCCTTTCTGTCCCCTTTCTACATAATTTACAAGCTCAGGATAATTTCTAATAGTAACTAATTTATAGCTAGGTGTGTGTAAAAAAATAGGATCATTCAATATGAAAGGTACCAAAAAAAAACAAACAGATTTTTTCCCCAAAGTTATGTATTTAAATATTTTTACAAAACAACCTTATCACCTTCAAAGTACTCTCCATTACACTTGAAACATTCGTCAAATCTGTGATTCCATTCTTGGAAACATTTTTCAAACTCATGTGTTTGGATGGCTGACAGAACCTCCCTCATTTTTTTTCTTCACCACTGATAAGTAGTTAAAGCATCGTCCTTTCACACCCCTCTTCATTCATGGAAACAAAAAAAGTCCCACAAAGCAAGGTCAGGTGAGTCAGGTGCTGAGGTAAGAGAGGCATCCTGTTTATTGGCACAAACTGGTGCACAGAGATGACTACGTGAGCAGGTGCATTGTCATGGTGGCAAAACCAGTCCCTCGTCTGCCACAAATCAGGCCCTTCTGGTTGCACACAGTACACAGTCTTTTCAGAACCTCTAAATAGAACGCTTGATTAAGTCTGACCTGGTGAAACCAACTCCAAATGCACTACTAGTCGACATTTTCATCTGTTCAGGAAGTTGACAGACGTCCAGAAGTAGTTTTGTCATCAATCCACATTTTACCTTTTTTGAAACGAGAAAACCACTCATACACTTGAGCTTTTCCCAATAGCGCTGTCCTTATAAGTTGTGTTCAACATCACAACAATTTCTGCCGCATTTTTCTCAAGCAGGAAACAATTTCACAGTCACATTCTGTTCTCTTAAATTGTCCATCACACAAAAAAAAATGTTTGAGCAAAACTGCTTTTACAAAAAAATAATCACTGTGTCCAGAGAAAACCTTTCCAGGCTGCCCCACTGGGTGCACTAACTCAGAGCATGTTGCTGGATCCTCACCTATCAGGTAAATGCATACTAAAAAAGCTAAGCTCAGCTCCGCTCCACCCAGCACAGTTCCAGGTTTTTTGGGGTACCCCCTCGTATTTCTTCTACAGCTTGCTTAGAGTATATCTACACACTTAACCAGGACATTTAGATTGTTCCTAGTGTCTTACTAATACAAATAAGGAAGCAGTGAATATCCATATGCATACATGTTTGTGCACCTAGCAAGGAATCATTAGGATAGATTTCTCGGAGTGAAATTAATGAGTTAAAGATAGAAGCATTTCACATTTGGACAGATACCCCTTGGTCACTGTTTTAGTTATCGAATGATGCTATAGCAGAAATACCATACATGGATGGCTTTAACAGACAGGACTGTATTCTTTCACAATTCAGGAGACTGGAAGCCCAGATTCAAGGTGGCAGTTCCAGGAGAAGGCTTTTCCTCTGTGCCGACTGGAGGAAGGTCCTTCTGTTCTTTCAGCATCTTTGAGTGTGACGTCCCCTGGAGAATCTTTGTGTGTCTCCGTGTGTCAATCAGCTCCTGGGTCCAGGAGGTCCTCAGGGCAGGGGTCCTGGGTCCAAAGGATATGCCCTATTTCCGACTCTTATTTCCTGGTGGTCCTGAGGTCCCTCTGAACACTGCTCTTATTTAATCTCATATCTCAAAAGAGATTGTTTCAAAGTACAACCTAATCCTATAGAGCAGCTGGACCAATCCAGATGCCTCTATTTTATCCTGGATTATGGGCTATAGTACAAAAGTTTTTCATTGCCAGAACACTGAGAAATTTTTTTTCTGCAAAGGGGGCAGTAAGCCAAATAAGTTGGAGAATGAATGCTATAGATTACATCCTGCCTCATTAATGTAACTACCATGAATCCGACCTCATTAACAACATCGGGGTTAGGGTAGGATAATTATATCAGATCACATTATGGAAGATAATTACATGAGTCTAAGTATGGAAAGACTTTATTTCATGTACTGTAGAAATGCTATCAAGAGAGATCAGTGTCTGGAGGTCATGCTGGGTTAAGTGGAGGGGCAGCAGAAATGAGGAAGGCCCTCGACAAGATGGACTGGCCTAGTGGCTGCATCAATGGGCTCAGCCATAAGAACAGGGGTGAGGATGATGCAGGACTGGGCAGCATTTCATTCTATTGTACCTAGGCTCACTATGAGTTGGAACCAACTCAACATATTTTAGGGGGGCACAACTCAAGCCGTAACAGTAGCCTTCTAACAAGGCCTCTCCAGTTAACACTCCCAGGAACAATACATGAGAATACTTGTTTCCCAAGTTGATATTACACCTGGAGCTTCGTAAAGGCTTGGTTAAAACCCTCCTATGGAAAATTGCTATTCTTAAGAGGTTAGTAGTTTGCTGAGAGCATACTTGTTGGCTGAAGTTTCTCACCCACTTTTAAAATTTTTAATGGATAGAATTCCTCTACTTTGATGCTTATGTCTTCTACCAGCACGTCTAAGGCTTCACTGTCTGTTGCCTAGACTGCCAAAGTAGCCTTCTTACTGGTCTCCCTGTTTCCACAGAATCGCTATACTAATCTTCTGCGGAGATATCTGTAGCCATGTAATATCCCACTGGTATCTGAGTTCTAGCCATGTAATATCCCATTGGCATACTAGAGCTCAATAAATACTTACTGCATTAATGAATGATTGAAAAATGGTCTTATCCTTGAAGTTAGCCCACCTAAAAGGAAAGCAGGGGCAAAGAACCTGAGTTTCCAGGCTCCTCATTCAATTTTCTTGTTGAGACCTAACTGCTATTCACTCCAAGAATCCTATTTTAATCCTCTTGATAGTACTTATTACTATCTGATGCATTGATTCTTTGTTTTTCTGTCACCTTCTACTAGAATATAAGCTTCCTACGAGCAGAACCTCTTGGGCTTGTTGGCCATTGTCTCCACAGTGCCTCCATGACTTTTCTGTCTGTCTGTTGTTGCTTGCACATTGTGGTCATGTAGAAAGCTATGCCAGCGGTATTTAAAATAACAGCAGGGGCACCCATTGCGAACAGGTTTCAACGGAGCCTCCAGGCCCAGAACAGACTAGAAGGAAGGAATGGGCTGTTCGCTTCCAAGAGATTAGCCACTGCAAACCTTACAAATAATAGCAGAACATTATTTGACTTTGCCAGAAGGTGAGCCCTCAAATTGGAAGGCATGAAAGTACAACTGGGGCATAGCCTTAATGCTGTGGGTGGAGCAAAGGGGACGCCACTCAAAATGAGAGGAAACAGCTGCTAGCATCCATTGATGATTGAACATGGAATATACTAAATAATCTAGGAAAATTAGAAAGTGTCCAAGATGAAATGGAATACACAAAGATTGATTGCATTAGTGAACTGAAATAAACCAATATTGGCCATTTTGAATCCACAAGTCTTCTGGTTGACTATGCCAGGAATGACAGATTCAAGAGGAATCCTGTCACATTCATTGTCAAAAAGGAGATTTCAAAATCTAGAAGTACAGCGCCATCTATGATAGTATAGTATCTGTGCCACTACAAAGAAGGCCAGATAAAGGGGCTGCTATTCACATTTATGCTCCAACCACTGAAGTTACTGATGAAGAAATTAAAGAACTCAGCCAACTTGAAATTCATCAAGCAGGCACTCGAGATGGCTTGATAATTACTTGGAATTGGAATGCAATAAAGAGGAAGAATCAGTAGTTGGAAAATAGGATTTGGGTGATAGAAACAAAGCTGGAGATCACACAATACAACGTTGCCAAACTAAGAACTTCTTTGTTGCAATTACCTTTTCCACAACATAAATAACGACTATAAACATGGACCCTCTGGATGGAATACGTAGGGATTGAATTGACTACATCGGTAGAAAGAGACAATGGAGAAGCCAATAACATCAGACAAAAAGGTTAAGAGTCGGCTGTGGTACAGACTCATCAGTGGCTCATAGGAAAGTTCAGGCTGATGAAAATTGTCATAAGAACCAAAATAAGACTGAGTATCTCGCACCTGAATTTAGAGAACATCTCAAGAATAAATCTAATGCATTGAACACTAATGACTGAAGGCATGATGAATCGTTTCAAGAGCAACATACACGAAGAAAGCAAAGGGCCATTAAAATCCCAGGAAAGAAAGAAAAGACCAATACAGATGTCAAAAGACACTCTGAAATGTGCTCTTAAGCATAGATTAGCTAAAAGGAATGAAAGCCATGATGAAGTGAAAGAACTAAACAGAAAATTTCAAAGGACAGCACGTGAAGACAAAATAGAATATTATAATAAAATGTACAAAGACCTAGAACTAGAATACAAAAAAGGAAGAATACGCTTATGTCAAAAGATGATATGGAACAGGGAATATCATTGCTGGCATCAGATGGATCTTGACTGAAAGCAGCGACTACCCAAAAGATATTTACTTGTATTTCGTTAACTATGTAGAGGCATTAAATTGTGCGGCTCACACGAAACTATGGGTAACATTACAAGGAATGAGAATTCCAGAACACTTCATTGTGCTCACAAAGAACCTGTACATGGACAAAGAACCATTCTTTGTTCCATCAGAACCAGGAAGTACAGCGTGGTTTAAAATAAAAAAAGGTGTGTATCAGAGTTGTATTCTATCACCGTACTTAATCTGTTTGCTGATGAAATAATCCAAGAAACTGGACTATGTGAAGAAAAATACAGCATTAGGATTGGAGGAAGGCTTATTAGCAACCTGTGATATGCAGGTGTCACAACCTTGCTTGCTGAAAGGAAGATCAAAGACTACAGCCTTGCAGCTCAATGTAAAGAAAACAAAACATGGTCACAACTGGACCACTAAGCAACATGATGAATGGAGAAAAATTAAAGTGGCCACAGATTGGATTTTTCTTAGATCCACAATCAATGCTCATGGAAGCAGCAGTCAAAAAATCAAAGGACATATTGCACTGAACAGATCTTCTGTATAAGACTTAAGTATTGAAAAGCAGTGATGTCACTTTGAGAACTAAGGTGTGCCTGACCCAAGCCCTGGTATTTTAAGTCACCTTATATGCATGTGAAAGTAGGACAGCAAGTAAGGAAAACCAAAGAAGAATCAATGCATTTGAACCAACTTGATGGCCCCTGCACACGCATGCTCACATGTACACACAGCTTAGAACGAGGGTTGTACAGGTTCCACTTAGTCCTCATCAAAAGAAGACTTTTGATTTCTGCTAGACTGCGTTATGAGGTTCGCATGTATCTGACCACTCCTCACTTATCAGTTTGTCTTAACGTCGTTGTTTGTGTGCTGCTGTGCTGCTAGAAGCTGTACTACCAGTATTTCACCTTCCAGCAACAAGGTCACCCGTGGTGGACAGGTTTCAGCAGAGCTTCTAGACCAAGACAGACTAGGAAGAGAGAGAGGCAGTCTGAAAAAAGTGGGCCCTGAAACCCTACCGAAAGCAGTGGAGCACTGGCTGCTATTTGAATGAGTACAAATATTTAGGTGTGTGTTTTCCTCTTTTTTGTTTCCCAGATCTATCTGAACCTCCCCTTCCTCATCCACATACCAAATATGCAGCCTACATATTCTAACATTTTTCGTTGCTGCAAGTCTAGCTATTTAGAATGTTTCCCCTAAACAGCAGAAGAGAAGCCACGTTTTATTTTTGATTCAATTCCTATTTTAATACAGTTACTGCATCAGTCAGTGAGTCAGTGGTACTTACTGAGCCCCTTCAGGGTACAAAATAGTATGTTGGTTGAGCTATTGAGTTTGAAATATTAATCACATTGTGAAATCCCCGGTAGTCAGAAGTGCTGTTCCAGCTGCCAGGACACAGTCCTCGTGGACCGTGCTTTGTGAGGATGGGCTTTTACCTTATAGCATATGTTCCCGCTTGGGCAGGAACAAAAGTTCAGTAAATAACTGAGGTGTTATTTTTTACCAAAATGAAATGTTTTAGTGGTCCTTGATCATTACCTTCCTTCCTGTCCAATCGTTGGAGGATTGTATTGTAATCACTGCAGCTTTTGGGTAATTTAAGATTTGGGGAATCTCATAACTGCCAGGGCCAGGAAAAGAAAATACTTACCTTCCCCTCTCTGGCACTAGTGTTTAAATTGAGCAAGGGAAAAAAGTGGTATGATTGTTGACTCCCAGATCTCAAGTCTGCCCAAAGTACTATCGTACCTCTTCTCTGAGCTGACAGGGCGTAACATCTGGACCACAGACAGGTGTGAAATGCAAGGTTCTTTGACATCATCTGTGAAGAAAGCTTGCACTCTACAAATTCTCTATTGTTTGTTTGCTTTCAGATTACTCTCTTGACCTCTGCAGTAAACCACCTCAAAGCTAATGTTAAATCTGCTTCTGATTTAATTAGCCTGCCTGCCACTGTAGAGGGACTTCAGAAGGTAAGTACTATACGTGGGCACTGAGATTAACCTGCTTCTATAATTCTTGCTTCTTTAAAGGGGTTTTTTGTTGCTGTTGTTGTTGTTCAGTGTTTTTCTTGTTTTTAAGCCCAACATGTGAAGTCAGCTATTTGAAGGGGGTAATGTGGACTGTATGAGGGATCACTTTGTTTTGATTCTTTCGAAAAATAAGAACCAACTCACTGCCATTGAATCCATTCCAACTCATAGCAACCCTGTGTAAGAGGGTAGAATGGCCCTTGTGGGTCTCCAAGATTATAACTCTATGGGAGCAGAAAACCTTGTCTTTCTGTCATGGTGTTTTCCAACTGCTTACCTTTCCGTAACCTTGCAGCCTAGCCGCCCCGCGTGTGACGACCCTGCTGCCAGGGCTTCTTTGATCTTCATAGTTGGGCGTTAAATTTGTAGCAGGTTCCATTAACCATGGTTGATATGGGTTCACACCTTTTAATTTGGTTGTATGAGCCCTGGAACTACTCCGCTGAGACTTGTATGTTAACAAGTGATTGGGTTTTGGGTTTTGTTGTTTTGTTTTGTTTTTTCATCACACACCTTTTCAATTCATCCTTCATAATATCTTTGGGAAAGCAAACCAGTTATTCCTGAAGGTGGTTCTAAAACTATTATTTTCTGTGTTTGGAAAGAATTTTCTTTTTAAAAAGCTTTGGGGAAATGTAAAAAAACAAAAAAGGCAGGAAACAATAAGGTTGTACAACAAAGGAAACGTTCAGACACAATTTGATATTATTTTGTAACGCTGGACATGAACATCTTCCAAGAAATTCACTACTCGTTATATAGTCATCCTAGGCTCTAAAACTCAGACAAATAATAGTTCAGAGTTTCTATTAATCTCGAGGACTCAGGCCTAGAACAGGAGATGGGGACCGAACAGCTGAAGAAAACTCAAGGATCCTTAGGGCTAGAGCAGGGGAATTGATACAAGTAGGAAGGGGGAGACCCTAAGCCCAACCAGACCCACTGCTGACCCATCATGACCCTGTAGGACAGAGTAGTGTGTACCCCCAGCGGGTTTCCCAGGCTGTACTCTTTATGGAAGCAGACGGCCGCACCTCCTTTTAGCACAGTGACTAATGATTTCAGATGACCAGCTTTTCATTCCACAGCTGAGCACTCTAACCACTGTCCGCCCAACCTCACTAGAAAGGGAGAGGGAGATGCCTAATTGGAACACAAAGAACATCAACCCCTGCAGCAGCAATGGAAGGGACTCAGGAGCAAGGATCCCAAACATGGGAATATCAAATCTAGGACCTTTGGGCTTTTAAAACTCAGCATGTGATACATTTGATTATATACTGTAAACATTTACACGTAAATTGTTTCCTCAGATGAGTGAGAAATTCCATGAAGGCAAAAACTAACTTGCTCTTTTATGGGTGCACCACCTGGGTGTGCTCAGTCTCCATGATTTGCTTCTTGTCCAACAGAGTCATGTGCTTACAACTTGAAATAAATAGAAGCATCTTTGATGAGGCCAAGTTCTTGTCCTTGTTCCCAAGGGCCAAATGCGGAAACAGTAGCTATTAGTGCAGAATGTCAGTCTTATGTTAGAAAAAAGTACATTGTTTGTTCTTGCATTCATTGGTGAATTCCTACCAGCAATTGTGGAGCTTTCTCCAGTATGTGCCAGGCACAGTGGACAGGAATACTAGTTTCAGAGTTTCCTACCAGAGTTCACATGGCCCTGTCAGCTGCTGCTTAAAACAACGACCCTTAAACAACAGCTTGCCCCCTTCTTGCATCCTGCTGGACGCATTGTCCAGCCGATCAGAATTCTCTAACAGTAGGTGTCTTTGAAGGCCTGTGGCTTGTGTAACAGCAGTGCTTACATAGATAGCATCCCAGCTTAGAGAGGTTTATCTGGTATGTTGTCTTTTTGCAAATCTGTGTGTTTCTAATGCCAGACAAAGCTTTTATTACAAATGGCTCAGTTTCAAAGTCATAGGCCATCCCAAATAACTGGTTTCAATGTATTACATGCCAATTTTATTTTTTTAATTTTGAAAAATGTCACTCTCTCAGACTTTTAGATCTTATTATAAGAATCATCTTAGGTAAAAAATACTAATATGGTACCCAAAAACTTCAACGTATATTAATAAAAGATCAAAACACCAAAGAGTAGTATTCTTTTGGAAGTTGCCGTTTTTTTAAGACAAGCCATTATGAAACGATAGTTGCTGAATCATGCCCCCAAGTCCCCAACCCACTTGAGTTTCTTAAGCCTTCAAGTAAGGAAAGTAAGCATCTGGCTCTTTCTCACCACTCCACTCCCTGCTGACAGGATTCCACAGTAGGGGAAACATATGCTGCCACATGGAATTTTATACTTCATTTTTGCACTGGGTTTCCTAGAGCCAAAAATAGTTCCCACTTCTTTTCATTCAAAATTCATCATTTTCTCATTTCACAAATAGCAGCCTTACAACATGAGTTCTGGCTATCTGCCACCTACAGCAAGGCTTGACAAAGGCAGTTTGTGTGAGAGCCTCATCTATATGTCCCAGATATATAAATTTGTGTCTTTAGGAAAAGTAACTATTTTCTTCAAGGAAAAGTCCTTTAAGTTGGAAATTTTTCTTGTTATTTAGATAAATCAATAGCTAGATTGATTCCTATTAATCTTGTCAGTATATGCAACACAAAATTCATAGTTTGAAGGCATTTAAAATAATTACAAACACACCTTCATTAAGTCATTGTTTATTGCAAATTAATGGCACAATATCCCACTACACTCCAACTAGAATGACTAAAATTAAAAAGCTGTCTTAACCAGTGTTTTTGAAGATGGAGAATAACTGAAACACTCTTTCATAAACCACTGGTGGGAACTGAAAATAGTACAAATAGTTTGGAGCATAGTTGGACAGTTTTTAAAGTGTGATGATGAGAAAATATATGATAAAGAAAAATAGGAGTATATATCCATATAAAGACTTGAACAGGACTATTTATACCACTTTAATTTGTGATACACAAATAATGAAAACAACCCAAATGTCCGTCAACTTTAATATATCTATTCAGCAACATGCTAAGTAACTACAACATAGATGAATCTCAAAGTAATTATTCTGAATGAAAGAAGCTACACCAGAAAACAAGTGCATGCTGGTTCGAGTTATACACAACTCTAGATGATACAAATTGATGTGTGATGACAGGAAGCATATCAATGGTTGCCGAGGGATAGATCCAGAGAAAGTATGCCAGGGCATGAGGAAACTTTTAAGGGTGTTAGTTGTTTGTTGTCTTGAATGTAGAGTGGATTCATGGATATAAATATATACCAAGCTTATATATTTTAAATATGTACAGCTTATGTGTGTCAGTTATTTCTCAGTGAAGCTATTAAAAATGTTTAAAATAAAAAACACTGACCTATTCATATGTTTTTGTTTTTGTTCAGAGTGTAGCTTCCATTGGCAACACTTTAAACAGTGTCCATCTTGCTATGGAGGCAATACAGAAAACTGTGGATGAGCACAAAAAAGCCATGGAGACGCTGCAGAGTGATGTGGTAAGGAAATCTACAAAGGCAACTGAAAGCTTGGCATGCACCTGCATGCCCTTTACTGTATCTCAGTAGTCATACCAAGCTTCCTTCCATTAAGCCAACAGGCCCTACTATGAACCTTTTTTAAAGGTGTAAGTTGTATTTATTGATTATTTTCCCCCCTATAAGCTATAAATTTGCCCATTAAGGTCGATGAGTTTTTCTGCAAATGTCACACTGGAGGAGATACAGTATTAAGATACAGTTTCTGAGTGTGGAGTGGTAGGAAAGAAAATGGAAAGTTTGCTACTTAACAAAACCACCCCAAAACCCAGTAGCTTAAAACACAAGTTATTATTTGTCACTATTCTGCGGGTAAGAAACTTGGGCAAGACTCTTAGAAAATGATGAGAGGAGTTCTTGAGATTGATAGTCCATTTTGAATGTTCCAGGCCCAGTCAAGCTCCAGCTAAATATGGCCATAGATGTGGTCATATGTGTGACCCATACCATCTGGAGCAGAAGAACCACCCAACTGTTGAAAAATTATTTAAAAATTGTTGTTTTAAGCCACAAAGTTTGAGATGATAAGTTATGCAGCAACAGGTGACTGGCATAGGAAGCAAACCTCTGCAGTGCCGAGCAATTGTTTTCCAATGTCTCTGCACCTCCCACTGCTGCTGCAGATGTAATCTGTTGACAGTCTTTCAGGAGTCTTAATCACTTAATGGGTATTCAGCACCTTGAAGAGTTTATAGAGGGGACAAAGGATGGTGTCGGCAACTGCCTTGATGGAGAGAAGAGTTAATGTGCACAGGACAGCGGGACTAAGGCGCACAGATTCCCTGGCCATGCCACTCATGTAATCCTAGATGTGTCCCATGTGTTCTTCCCAAGCTTTGGCATTCCAGATCTGAGTTGGGCGGTTTGTACAGGGAGACCTGGACTGTATTAGAGAACTCTAGCAGGGAGGGGCTTTCCTTTTCTATAGAACCAGTCCTCTTCACTGTTATGTCGTAAGACTGGCATGGGGGGTAAAGAGTATTGCTCTAGGTGCCCAGGCACCTGGATCTAGTTTCACCTCTGCTACTGAGTAACTGAATGCCCTTGGGCAACGTTGAATTGATAATAATTAGAACCTCTAGCCCAGCAATTCTTCTGTTATTATTCCTTTAATAACATGAGCATTTTTAAGTTATTTCCAACATTTTCCTGACTCAGAAATCTTGACCTGTGATTTTACCCCTCCTATCCTTCTCTTTACTGCTGCCTTTTGTTTCTTGTCAGCAGGGTTTCTTTCCACCAGTCGCATTCTAATTTCATTATCTGCCTCCTTGACACTTCCATGACTGCCAGTAGTGGTGCCCCACTGGCACATTCCACACTGAATCAGTATATTGACAGAGTTGAGCGGAGTGAGCCGGACAAAGCTTTTTCCACTAAAGGGGAAAGTGTATATAAGCATGTTGCCTGTTTTATTCTCTGCAAAAAAGAGACTTGAGCGCTGGGAGAAGGAGTGGGGAAAAGGTACCCCTCAAACATACATCTCGGCATCTGCTGTTGGGGAAAAGACTAGTAATGTGCGTGGCCGATTGTGCTCAGTGCCCAAAGCCAGTGGCTGCATGACTGACCGCTGCTCTGTGAATAGCTCAGCCTCTTTAGTTTGGAGCACAGGGCAGCCTGGCCATGTTTCGTGGTCCGGCCCATGTTTCAGGCAGGCACCCCAAAAGGTGCAGGACTCCTCAGAGCCTACCACCAGGCTGGTCACCCTGTAGATTACTGGAAAATAATTGATTTGTGAATGCTCCGGGGAGTGACCAGAATGTTCCAAAACCATTGTAGTGGGTTAAGTAGACCCGATCATTGTGCTAACCTCCATTTCTCTTTCAGAATCAGCACCTCTTAAAGGGGACCGATGGAAGCAATCAGATTGCTCCATCCCCTTCAGTTACATCAGACCTTGACAATAAAATGCACAGTGAGAGTTTGAAACAGGTACTTTTTGTCTCTGGCTTAACTCCCTGGGACCATGGAGGCGGCCTGAGCTGTGTGGGCACCGTGTGAGAGTGGCTTTGGGGGCATTGCATGCTTTTATTTGCCCGTCTGACGTCTGAGCAGAGAGTGATGTGTGTGTTGGATCTTAGGGACCCAAAATGCTATCCTAACTCCTCTTTGACACTGCCTTTTTTTAACTTTTTTTTTTACCCCTTGCATGTCAGTCAGTGGAGTAAATTCCTTTTCATGTTTTCAGACATAGGATGGCCAAATTATCCGGAAACTGAAAAATAGCAATCGGGGCCTGTACAAGATGAGCGGATAGCAGATTCAGAGTGGCAGCTCTTTTGAGCCATAGTAAATTCTAAGCATGTTATAAAGCATGTCGTTGAAAATACAAAAGGCAAGAGTTGGGGGAAAGGGTTATCAGGTTCAGAATCACATTAAGTAAAGAGAATAATGAATCAAGGAAATCTTCACTAAGAAGAATTCCTGCCTCGAGTTTAATGCCCTTTAAAACCTATAGCCATAATTCCTTTTTAAGTAGCAATCAGTACCAGCGTGTGCCAATAAAAATCATTGAATCTTGTACTAAATAATGCACTACTTGTTATGGTTTTGTTACATGAGCCAATTCAGTAATTGGTATTGTTCCTGAGGTAGTTTTGTTCTGACAAATTAGGTTAATGGCCTTTTCAGTTAATAACCCAGCAAGCTTTCCTGCCAGCAGGTGAGGTTAAACATTGGCAAATCAATTCGCAAGCTCTGCGCTCCTGGGACCAGAGGGTGAATCATATAGGTAGTCCTCTTTCCCCCTCCGGCCTGACTGAGGTCAAACAATTCCAAAGGGAGTAAACGGGGAGCAATTTAGAATGGGAGGGACAGAGAAAAGGCAGAGCAATTGATGATTAACCAGGAAAAGGAGTTTACTTCAGTGAACTTGACATTATAATGGGTGTTAGGTGCTCCTGGCCTGCTTGCCTGGTATCCCATCTTTAGCTGTATTCCTCAACTTGGTTTTTTTCACTCCAGGACATCCTGTACCTTCACAACTCTGTAGAGGAGGTAAACAGTGCCCTAGTGGGGCTCCAGAGACAGAATGACCTTAGACTCGAGGGGATGAATGAGACAGTCAGTAATCTTACCCAGAGAGTCACCCTAGTAGAAAGCGATCTGGTTGCTATGAGCAAGGTAGAAAAGAGAGCGAGCCTGTCCTCCAGCATGGTAAGCCTTTCCGATCTTTTCTTACATGTTCTGTGTTGCAGTGTGTGTTTTGTCTGTACCTGGGTGACATGCCTCCTCTTCTGGCATAATTGAGGGGCTCTACATTTCTATCGTATTTAATCTGTGTCTCCCTTAATTCGTATACTAGCTCTTTGATGTGGATGGCGTAGGCGGTGCTAGTGGTCGTTTGGAAAGGGGGTGGAGAGGGTAAGTGGCTAACCAAGGCCTCTCCTCAAGTTGTTGGCAGAGATGACAAGCCTCTGTTGCGTTGCCAGTGAGCCGTCTGGTAGGAGAGCCCTGACACTTAGTTCCACGTGAAGTCATCTTTATCTTCTCATCTTTAAGTTATAAGGAGTGGGGGAAATATTTTGCCAGTCCCAAGGCTGAACTTGGCATTCAGATTTATCCTGCTTCTGTCTACAAATTAGAGGGACCTTTTTGCATATGATGCAAGGAAAACTACGTGAAACACCTGAAGTCACGCTCTCTTTCCTGCCAGTCAAGTTTGGCGGCAGCCACTTCAGAGGCCGTTGACCCAGCCACTCCTTATACAGATGAGGAAACTTTCGGCTCCCAAGTCACTGCTGCGAGTCGCAGTGTGGTTTCCTGCCTCTCACTAGACCGTGAATGAAACGGAACGGACGTTGGTTGGTTGGTTGGTTTTTCCCCCTTTCCATATATGTTATGCTGGGATCCACTTGGATTCGTTCTTATTAGCTGCAGGCTCCACCCTTTAAACATTCAGCAAGGACACAGACGTGTAATAGGAAACAAATACAGGAAATTGTACTAGAAATTCAAGTCAGTACCAAAGCTGGAAGGAGGCCCACAGCTAAAGTTGAATTCCGAAACACAGAAAGCAGTGTTGGAACGGACTCTGCCACAGTGGCGTTTGGCAAATTGCCTCGACTTCCTTGGCTTTGAAGGGTGGGGTAGGAGACCTGTTCCCTTCCTGCTTTACAGGGGTGTCCAATGTACTACAAATCTGTGAAGATTAAAGGAGCCTGATTTTAAAAGACCTTTTGAATTCAGTGAAGCTAAGTAGAGCCTGGGAATTTCAGATGATTTGATTAATATGATACCTTGAAGGTTTTCAAGTCCTTAATTGTGAAAACTTACCACCTCCAAACTCCCTTAGTTGCCTCTGTCTCTTTTATTTTTCTCCAGCGAAGGAAGTCGGTAATAGTATCCATCTGTCCAACTATTGCTTCCAACAGCACACCCAGCATGGTTCTGGGTAAAAGTTTCTCGCCTTCATACGTCAAAGTTTTAACGTTGGTGGCTGAAACAACCAGAGGCTGGTCTCCACTTGTTATCGCTGTTTTGTCTCCCTCTCTCCTCTCCTCCTCGCGATCCTCTGGCAGTTCCCTTGAGAGTGTGCTGAGACTCTTTCTCTAAGTTTGATCAATTGTTTTGGAAGGGGCTGGATGTGAAAGTTGTAATATTTGCCTTGAGCCTTCCCTGCTCATTCTCCTTACTATACCTTTGAGGTAGGTGAGAAAACCGCCCTTCTGAAAAGAGTATCTTTGGATCAAATGACCAACAGAACAGAGTCACTAAAAACGCCAAGCATAAAAGTAAATAACAGGAGGCTTAATAAAAAAAGAAAAAGCTAAGCCCAATGCTATCCAGTCAATTACCATTCATAACAACCCTCCAGGACCAAGTAGAACTGCCTTACAGGGTTTCCTAGGCTGTTATCGTTATAAAGCCGACGACCACATCCTTCTCCCACAGAGCAGCTGGAGGGTCCAAACCTCCAGTCTCCGTTAGCAACCAAACTTAACCACTGCC